TCCCTCCTCCTCTCTCTCTCTCTCTCTCTCTCTCTCTCTCTCCAGAGATTGAAAATGACAGAGGATCAGTTAGGCCTCTGTTATCTTTAACGTTTACATGCCACAGTAGCTCGATTATAAATTCGTAGGATTTATCATTTTCAATAAGTAACACTCGCATTCGCTCAAGCATATTGTAAAGGAATAAACGTAATTATTATATGTTGCATTCCTGTGGAAATCTTCTTGTTAATATCAATTTGGTCTAACTAATCGGTACGTAAGTTTATAATATCAACAATATTAGTTCGGTAAATTATTCCAAGTGGCAAAAGTTTGAAATTTAAAGAGAGAGAAAAGGCATTGGTATAGGGAATGTGAATGTGAAAGCGCGGTTGAGCTGTCGCCATCGATGGCGCTGGTAGCAAAGCGACGGTACCAAAATGGTCGTGTCGGCATCGGTTCTTGCAGCGCAATAACGGCGCTCTCTCAGAGCGAGAACGTCCGTATTTCGTACTCCAGGACTTTTCCTCTCCGGCCATTTATACCCGGCGTCGAGACTCGCGTCGCGTCGCGTCGAGGTAAACCAGAAACCGAAGCGAGGGAAATTCAGAGGTGTGACGAGGGCCGTCCCTACCTCGAGCGCCATTATTGCGAGTACCGGCTTGTGTACCGCGGGATGGTGTTGGTAGATCGGCTGTATGCGGGACGGGAAATCTAGAGGAGCTGAAGATATGGCCGTGACCGCGCGGAATGCCTGGAATGTAGCCCGTCACGCTGCACCGGCGCAAAGCCACGGCGCGATCCATCGCCCTTTCGGTCCCCCCTTCCCATTCGATTCCGGTGTCCCTCGTCTTTTTGCCGAAGCCTCTGACGCAAACAGCGAATCAAGCTGAACTCCAATGAACTGGAGTATCTCTCCAAAATTACTTTTTTTTTTCTTTTTTTTTTTTTTTTTTTTTTTTTTTTTTTTTTTTTTTTTTTTTTTCAAACCTGCGTAACGTTCCATCGACGTGCGACATTTGGTCTACAAGTCAATCTCTCTTTTTGGCACGCGACCTCATCTTAAGAATTTCCATTGGCGAACGGAAATCTTGCATTTGCGACTCCACAGAAAGCACAAAGAATGTCGAGAGTCGCGATGATTTACGCGATAGCGGCAGTACTACGATCGATTAAGTGAGTCCGAATGTAAATGCGGTGAAGAGGGTCAGTGCCTGCTCGAGTCAACGTCCAGGATAGGGCAGAGCGGAGAGGAAGAAAGAAGAGTCGCCGTGATGATTTCATCGCGCTTAAATTCCACCTCGGGGCGGAAATCTCAGGGCCGTATTTTCGATTCTCGGCCACGGGGGAAGAGCGGGAGGTCGAAGCCAAGCTACGATCCAGCTACGATCCCACGTCCAGGCCCTCAGCGACGATAAATTTTCCTCTATGACACGATCCTTTGGTCTGTCGTGAGCACTGCCGAAACGTTTTTCTTCACGTGAAACATGACGTTTATAGCGGGAGCGTGTTCTTTCCCGCGATAAATTAGTCCTCAAATTTTCCCACGTTGTAGAACACCGCGCGCTGAATCACGCTACTTCATTGATGATATCTTCCGTTTTGCGTCTTGACGCTTGGTGCTCATGCATGCATACGCGTCCAATGAGAATAGCAGAGTTAATGAAAGGAGTTAAATAGAGTTACTGAATGCATGAATCTTATCGTGTATCACACTTTAAATGCAACGACTGAATAACCTGTTTGCGTCGTTAGTAGCGAATATGCAAATTCGTCCCTTTCAAAAAGATAAAAAAGAAATTATTTAATTGACTAATAACGTAGATCTACATCTCAATTTTAAATACCTCAAACTCATTCTTTCCGAGCAAATATAAAAACAGAGAAGTATCGCTCACTCTTTTTAAAAAAAAAAAATTCTATATACATTTTGTTACATGGGCAGCAGTGAAAGAACTCATTGCGTAAGTAAATGGCGATTCATATGCGCCTAGCGAAGCGGCGGAAGAGAGCGTTCGGATATGACTTATCGGGTTACGGAGCAGTCGTGCGTCCGATCCGCAATTATAGCTCGAGTCATCGTCTTGCCCCGCGTGCAAACGTAATTGAAATATCTCGTACCTAGTGGGATCATTCGACCTGACCTCAAACCGCAAACCATGAAATTATTCGAGCGAGCGTTGCCGCGCGTTTTAATCTAAAAGCTCGCCCGCCTGTTGTCCTGCAGCATCCGAGCGCGTATCATTAAAACGCATTACTCCCGCTGCATTATGAGTTCTTTCGACTTTGCCTTTCGACATACCGCGAAATGACGCGATCTGAGCGTTATGCCTCCGCCGAGACAATCGGCTTCCGCAACGTGGCAACGCGCGGCGCGAGAGCCCGCGCAAATCAATATAACATCATTGGAAAATACAGCGCGATGTGCGCGTTCGGCTTTGCAATCGTATCTCTCGTTTTTTTTTTTTTTTTTTGTGCATGTTCATCACTCGTACGCGGCCGGGATTTCGAAAGACCGTATTTCCCACTTTAGAACGAAAACCGAGTCGAGATCGACAAGAATTTCCGCGCCGCTTGTAACAGTGTCACATCGTAACAATGTCACATGAGGATGCATAAGCGGGCGCTCTATACACGGGCGAAGTATGCGAGCTAAGAATCCGAGATGTAGGTACCCTCAACGACGCGATACGATTGGATATCCTTCCCGACGAGCTACGGTTTCGCCCGTGAGCCGCACACGGTGCTCACGGTGAAAGGAAAAGTTAGACGGACGAGACGTTAATCGCTACTCTCGTCCGTCTCTGCGCGCGTACAATACTTCTCTTTAGACCCTTAGCCTCTCGTCGGTCGACCGGTGTGCATTAATACGCATCGCGTCGTGGCTTTCAACGGTGAGCTTTCGGGAAGAAGGGAGGGATAGCGTCCCTTCGCACCCACGCCGACCTTTTCCCCATTTCTGGCTGTACGTCTGCGTGACCGCTCGTAATGCACGCGCGCACGTGCACACTCGTGCACGATCCATGCATCTGCATCTGGATCTCGCGCACAAACGCACGGACGCCATGCAGCCAGGGAGCTTTCTAAACGCGCACATACGAGTGAGACCGAGTCTCGGAGCTTGCGGCTCCCCGCGAGTGCTTATTACACATTCAGGCGCCGCTTTTGCGCTGCGGCAACGCGCCGTCTGCTCTTCAAGCGGACCGCACGTTTCTCCTCGGTCACTGGCGGAAATCCGGAAAAATCTAATTGGCTTGACATACAACGAAAATTATTTCTATATACAACATAAATTTCCTTGGATCTGAATTAAAGTTTACATATATAATGTCGCTCTTACACTGAGAAAAAAATGCTATTGAATCAACAGCATTAGTCTAATTGGAAATAATTTTCTTAATTCAATGACTTAATTATTAATGAAACGAAGATCTTGATTATTAAAACAAGAGTATGATATACTGTTTCATTAATAATTGTCATTGAATTAACAAAATTATTTCCAATTATTGACTATTGATTCAACAGCTTTTTTTTCTCAGTGTATATACAATATACTTTTCTCTTTTACTTTCTGAGAGTTATTCAATTAATTAAAGTATCTTAAACAATTCCTAGGATAATTTTTTCTAAAAAAATCAATTACTTAGGCTAATTCCTTGTGCAAGGCATGAAGACAAATTCATTCATAAACATGCATAATTAAGCTAAAAGCAATGAATCTCAAGCGGATTACGACAGTAATGTTATGAAAGAGATAGCAAAATGCTATGTTTAATAAAATTTGTGTCAGAATTTGAATTTTCCCGTTTCTGCTCGTAGGCAGAAGAATTGAATACCATCGTTGGCAATGCTTTCCGCATGGCGTACGTGGCGCAGCTTCAGCGCCAACCGATCCTCCAGGATGTAATCTCATCGCGATCGACGCCATCTTATTACAAGGACAAGCAGGAGCATCGAACGTCGTGGGTATGTTTTTAATGTATAACAGATGTAATTGACTTGAATGAATGAACGAAAAAAATATATGACTTTGTGCGAAACATAAAAGAATTGTTACCGGCGGGCCATTTCCTAACAGAAAGAGCACAATGTGTATAGTTTAAGGTGCTAACGAAGTCATTTATTTTTGTCGCTGTCATCCAGCCAGCTAATTAAGTAAAACTTTACAAGCTGGTTAGATATCGTGCCATCTGCTAGTTTTCTCACAAATGCACCGTAGATTGCAATTAACTAGTTTTAGCAATTAGCGGACAGTTCTGAGATCTTCTTAAAGATTACGCTTGCCGAGTTGTATCGTAGCAATTTATTTTAGTAAAAGTAAATACAGGCATAGAAAGTGAAATACAGAGAACGTTTCAATTATTCAGAAACGTGCAGACAACATTACAATGTAATTACCGCGATCATTATAACTTCGTTATAACTTCGTTTGAAAGGCCTCCCGGCAAAATGGATCGAAATCACTCAGACTATTTATTCGAGTCGTGCGACTAAATAATTTTTTCCGCGATCTACGCGAGCACGATACTCCGGAGGTATTAGAGTAGATGCTGTGGCACGCTAGCAAAGGGATATATACACACGTACGACGGAAAGGAAGTGGCTGGAGCAACTCGCGGAAGAGCCTCTTAAATATCCAAGACGCGCGAGACGAAAGGGACAACGACGACGACGACGACCATGTCCTCTCCCGATGTGGTCTCACGGGGGCCACCGACTCCAGTAGGTGTCCCGTTTACGAGCCGTGTTAATTATAAATTCGACCAGAGTCTCTCGCTTACCGCCTCGCGTCGCGTCGCCTCGTGTCGCCTCGTGTTTCCAAGTAAACGGTCAGTCCGCCGCGGTCCGCCCGATGGTCCTCGCCGCAAAATCACCTTCGAACTGCTCATCCGATTCTGCCGATCAAATATTCATCCGGGAGAATCTCGAAGAGATCGGATGGCGACCGAAACTGTTCCAGCGGTTTTGCTTAATCGACCACATTTGCGCTCGAGACGATGATCGCGCGTCGGAGGAGATAACTCTTTTAAGTACACGCTATCGCAAAGAGGGATATAATTTTGGCAATGACCGCTTTGTGTTTCGTTTGCAGAACAAATCGCTGCCCCCCGGAGACGACGCGATAGCCGCGGGCGCTTGCAGGAGTCCGTCGTCGAACTCGTGGCTGAAAAGTCGGACGTCGCCCACCTCCAGGCCTGGAAGGGGTTCGTCCGCAACGGATATGAACGTGCAGCTCGGCAGCGCCGGCTCGCCCACGCTGCGACTCGCCAGCGTAAAGGTGATTTCATACAAGTGTAATAAATCCGCCGTGAACACGGCCGGCTTAGTGCACATGTACATATCGCACCCGATGATATATTACGCGAAAGTGAACTACTAGTCCGTCCAGAATTTAGAATGAGTCAACTCTACAAAGCTACGCGATGCGTCTCGTCTCTGATGTCACGTCAAGTTTTGATTCGTATTTTTCTCGTTTTCCGCGGATCGTATTTATTTCGGGTGCGAGTGCGATTGCCCCGTATTTGAACGACAAATCCAAATGATTCCAGGCTCCGAACACGATCCCGGGTCTGCGACCGTCGTTCACGAATGTTCTCGGTCCCATAACGAACGCGGATGAGCCGAAGAGCATATCGCAGCAGAGCACGCCGAGCAGCGATGAGAGCAACTCACCGACAGAGTTAAACTCGTACAAGAGGCTAACGGACAAGCCGCCGCTGATAAAGCGGCTGGCGATGGGTTTGACAGGTGGACGCGACGTTCTTGGGCTGAACGGTGAGGATGACAGCTGCCCGCTCGTCAGCGGTAGCAGCACCCCGGTCAGTCCATCGAACAGGCCCCATTCCGGGGGCTACATAAACGAGGCGATCATCGACTCGGAGGGTACGAGGCCGTCATACAACAAGATCCCGCCGTCCGAGAGTCTCGACAACACCATCAACGCGTCCATCACCAACGCGAAGAATTTCAATATCGAGAACAACAGGTAAGCCGATTCTTCTCGTCTCCTCTCTGCGTCTCTTCTCTCCCTCTCTCCCTCGCGCTCGCTCCTTTCCGGAAGTAGCGGAGAGATCGGTACGAATTGTGAACGAACGAGACAGCTCCTTCATTTTCAGGATAGGGCACAATTGCCCGGACTCGGGCACGGAGGCGGAATTCAAGTCGAAAAGAAGATCGCAAATTAGCACGTCGAGCAGCTCGGTACCCGCTGACGGAAGCACTCATGGCTCCACGCCAACCCCGCCGCCTTTACCCGAGAGAACAGACAGCCTGAATAATCGAAGCGAGGAGGCTGAGCTACGCAAAGCGCCCTGGTTTCAGGCTGGAATACCCAGGTTGGTCTCCGCGACATTACTACACGACGAAATAATACACACACACACACACACACACACACACACACACACACACACACACACACATACTCCATACCTCCTTCCTTCTTGACGCTCCGAAATAGCACGTCGCTTCTGGCTAATTTTAAATATTCTTCGGGTGATCCAGTTCACAATCCAGTCTCGATGGTTGTTTTTTTATATATCGGGATACGCAAATCCGATCGTTTTTCTTTTTCGTTTCGTCTCTCAAGAAAAGACGTCCATTTATCATTAATGACACCACTGTGATTTCAGAGAGATAACGCTCGAGGTATTGAGTCAAGAGCCGGAAGGAGCTTTCATGGTGCGAGAGAGTACCAGCAAACCCGGATGTTACGCCCTCTCCCTCCGTGTGCCCCGCGAATTCCAGCCGAGCGGGATAGCCCATTATCTCATAATGCGTACAAACAAAGGTTACAAAATCAAAGTAAGTCTCCCTTTCATTCTTTGGCTACTCTTTACTGTATCGAGCATCAAAGTAGTCGTAAACCGAGTACGCGAAAGTCAAAGCGAATCTCCCGTCGGCCAGACGGCATCCGTTTTTCCGCCAAGAGACTAAAAGCAAAACTAAAATCCGCATGGATCATAACCTGCTTGATGTTTCTCTTCAAGAATGATAGCTGTTTGTTTTAACAACGCGATATGTCCGATGTCCCTAGATAGACAAATTTATCGAAAACAGATTTTGCAAAACATCTGCTATAAATTTTATAGCCACAAAAAAATTTTATAGATCAACAAAAATATCACCAACATGTGTGAAATATGAAATACGACAGATTAACTGCAGAACCGAGAGCTACATTTTATAATTCTTTAAATAATACATTTCGTTGAAATAATTACATAATTCTGTTCAATTTTTGCTAGTAATCCGTTATTATTGTGTAATTTTTTATTATGTAATTTTTTATATGTCGATGAAATCTGCTATGAATACGAATTTAACGCGTATGTAGCAGATATCAATTTGCTTATGTAGAATTTGTTAACAAATTGCTAGCTCTCACTAATATTTTGCTTATCGAATCTTTGCATTCATACGAAAATAGAGGATACTCGATACAAGATACTTTTACAAGGATAAAATTCTTTTTAAGGCTCGAAATAATACTCTCAGTAGAGAATCCTTTATACATGTGTGTGTGTGTGTGTGTGTGTGTGTACACACACACACACACACACACACACACATATACGCAGTTAATATTGAAATAAGCTATACGGGATGCTAATACGCGAAGGGCTGAAGCTTTTAGTAGCCCGAACATTATACTCGGGATACCACGTTGGTGCAAAGCTACCCGAGCATTTAGCCATTCGGATACGTGTATTTAAATGGTCGAACTTCCCCCTCATAGGAGGATAGATTAAATGAGTCCGTAGACTTTGATAATCTCCAAAACCAGTATAAATGAGTTTTGTTGGATATGCCGCGGATGCCGTAGGGAAATCAAAACTCCGCTTTCTCGCACTCACCCTCTCTCTTTCTCTGTTTCTCCCTACAACAATACGAAATTGCATCGTTCTGTAACAAGCACTGCGCCCAGATTCGAGTGAATACCGCGTGCGATAACCCTGATACGCGAAGCTCCTGTCAGCATACACGTGTGTATGATACATTTAATATCATCTCGTTAATGTGGCCATGTGTGTTTCGCTGTATGACTGGAAAACGCGAAGAAAGATCTCCGGCCGACTAATATCGCATTTCATTGTCCTGGCAACGCGTTACAACAATGCATTGTAACATAATCATGTATATATAATATTGAATAATACAACGTACGCATAACAACGGAAACAATAAACTTACATTATTATCGCACATATTTCATATCAAGCGAGTTTTTCGATTTGGAATAAAATTTTGAGCTCCGTCGAAATATTTTATTGGACCGTAAATAAATTATTTCAAGCTTTATCGACATTGTCAGATATTTTCATTAAAATATATCTTTACAAACTTATGTTTGAAAATATTATATTTGATCGCCGTTGCAAAATATATGGCGCTTAAAAATTTTGTTTTTATTTTTGTAAACTGAATAAAAACCGTGACATTTTAACAACGTTCGCAATTCTAAGAGAAAAAAAATCTATTATGAGCAGACAGAACCGGGAACATTTTTTGAAAAATATTAAATTTAACATACAAACGGAATTAAAATTCCACGATAAGATAGGATCTTCGACATCTAATAATCTTTTTACTTCTGAATTTATATAAATTCAAAAGCAATTGCTTTTATCGCCAACCGCATGCTATTATTTTTAACGGGGGGGTTTTGACACGTAACAGTCCAAAGCCAGAAGTACAGAAATACATTTTCCCTTTAATAAATCAGTAATCAAATTAATTAATTAATTTTATGCCGATTAAGTTAGATTTAAAATTAATTAATATCGATACCGATAATATTATGAACGAGAGGAAGCGTCAAAATCAATAATGTTTCAGGGCTTCACAAAAGAGTTCACGACGCTCACCGCGCTAATCACTCATCATTCGGTCATGCCGGAATTATTGCCATGCCCGTTGTCGCTGAGCCGATATAATCCGAGCTTCGTCAAGACTGACTCCAGCAAGGATTTCGCAGATATCGATTCGGATTCCGATTACAATACCCTGGCGGATTTTCGCAAAATGATGGCCGATCTGAATGTCTAGAAATCTAATGTCTAGAGATCGTCGAATCTAGTTGGGAAACGAGGACGCTTTTCTACGAAATCGCGGTTCGTCGATTCACGTGAAGCCAATTGGAAAGTAACGCAAGACACCGTTCGGTATACCTGGATCACAATGCCATCGTGGAAAGCCGACGTTATTTGCGATCGTCGTTCATGAGGAGATCTCGCCTGGAGTGAGTGACACGATTAGTACATACTCTGGACGACGCTTAGAATTAAACAGATCTATGTTTCCGGAAAGACTCGCACAGCCATCAGTGATATATACTCATAAGTCATTAATAAATGGTAAGAAACGTAGCGTAGATAATTTAATAACTGCTAGCGTTGTACGGACGTGACTGGAATAGAATGATGTCGATCTTTTATATTACAGCACGCCTAGCGAAATGTTAGTTAACGTTAAGCTTGCTATAAAACGGGCGAAGCGAAACAATTGACGCCCTATCCGGATCTTCAATCGGAATAAATTATTTTCGTACAAACGAATATATATATATATATATATATATATATATATATATATTTAAGCGCACGTTATCATATTTTTGCGAGGTTTTTTGTATTAAGCTTTCAAAATGAATCGGGCTTTATTATGGTTTGGATCGCTCTCGATAGTTGCAACGATACCAAACGTTTCGTATACATATAATATATTCTTGTTGTTGAAATGCGTAATAATTGAATAATTAAGAAAATAAACGGAACGGATCGAGTCATCGCGGAAAAATAATTTTACATTTAAGCGATGTCAAATTAAAATATCACGTCAAAAAAGCGTAAAAAAGATATACGATTCAGAAGAAAATATCGAAAGAAATATAAAAAATATATTTCTCCAGAAGAAAAATCCAGAAGAAAAATAACTTCTTTTTAGGAAATGTTATATTAAGATATTCTCATCTTTAGTTCCTCGATTACAGCTTCACGGCGACCGAAAGTAATCTAATAATTTTTATTCAATTGAAGCGATCATCTAATATTTTTTTATAAGTTGAGCAACGTGTTACCATCATCATACATTATGTATATCATATTGATCTTTGATAAAAATGAGAAGGCTGTCTAATAGGCAAATGCAACCGCCTCCTCCGCTTTATAACTTTATAGTTAATCAAAAATATATCCTTGATAAAATATGAAAGTACTAAAACGCGTCGCATATTCTGTACCTCGAAACGAAAAAAAAAAAGATTTAGCTATGTGAGTTGAATCGCTTAAAAAACGTTTGGACCTGGGAGCAAAATCAGAACATAATAGATTCATTAAGGAATCTGCATGTCAGAATTAGGTTGCTTTGTTATCATTTAATCGTATTCCCGATAGTATATTGCAATCCGATGATATATCGGAGACCAAAACTAAAACAACGTTCACCAAAATTTTATTAAAAATAAAACAATTTATTTCCGTTTACTATTGAAAACAGAATAAACAATATGTATATTGCAACAATATATGTATGTATTTTAATATATTTTATACCATTTGAAATATATGTCATATGTTTCAACTAGTATTTTGTAAAAAATATATCAAAATATACATCACAATCATACATCAAAATTGTTTATTTCGTTTTCAATATTAAACGAGAATAAAATAAACAAGAAAAAGAAAAATTTTCTGATTTACTTCTCTTTCACAATGAATAAAGTAAAAAATTATTGAAAGATATTTTGTTAATGTAATGAAATCAAGATGCATTTTTAATGAAAGTAAACTTATAAAATGAGATAATATATGTAAAAGCGAATAAAATATTTTTCTTTTTTGTCACCTGATTGCAATATTAATGTACATGTGTTTATATGTATATATGTTATCATTATTCTCAACGTTCATATTTCCATACGTATATTTAATTATTAAACGTGAGAAAGGATTAATAAACAACATGGAATCTTGAAAATGCGTTACGTCTAAGAGAACATAGAAATTCCTCTATATTTCGATTTGGCGAAATATGAATTACTGCAATAGGCGATAATTTAGTTTCTCAGCTATCCTAGTCTTGTACAGAAATTTTGCATAGTTACAATGATGAAAATGATGCGATTATGCGTAAATAATTATCGTATTTAAATGATTCTCAGCGGTGACCGGACTTTAAATTAGATGACACTTTTTGTAGATGTCGAAACTTTTCCATAACTGAATATATCAATTTCTTGACTACAAACTACTAATTATACAAAGTTTATAACTGCCAGTATTCTTATATTTCTTATCAAAGTCATTCATAACAGAAAAATATTTCATGGAAGGATTTCATGCAAGGATTTTAATGAAGTAGAAATATACAAAAATGTAAAGACGAGATGTCGTGTACATTTTTGTAGTTAAATAATAAATACACTAAATTCATAATTTGATTTTAATCCTTGAGCAACTGAAATATATGAAAATATAAACCAATATATTTCGACAAGGTTCATATTCAGATTCATATCTGCTAACGCATTGTGCTGGGAGAAAGTAGAATGATGCATATGATGCATTGAAATCGTATGTATGATATGTATAATAGATTTGTGCGAATATAAATCGCTGAATCTTTCTGCTATTACAATGTGTTCCTGTAACGCTTTAATGATAACATGGAATTGTTAAGTTATTACAATAACAAAAGGAAACTTTCTTAAAAATATTGTATCTGTAAAATTTCATCGCATTCACCAAATCATTTTTTAAACTTATGTCTCCACAATTGCATAAAAAAAGTAATGTGTCTTATATCGTTAATCTTACGCACGCAATGTACGCATGCGTGATTCGATGAATCGTGCAAGTTTAAAACAGTCCTTTTGGAATATAAAGTTAAAATAACGAAAAAACTGAAAGAAAAAGTATTTGTATTACGAAAACAATTAATACGTACTAAGAACGGAGCATAATTAACTGTTGTAATGTACGCTACACATGACATTAATCACTGCTTGAGGTTTGTAATGTTTTATGAATTTATTATCGCGATGCGTTGTATAATGTCAAGAGAAATTATTTATTACAAAATAAATATAATACAAAGTATACATATATTTCTTACAGTTACATAGTATTCTAAAACATTTACAATTAACAAAAATCAATGGCTTATTGAAATAACCGAATAAAAATCGAAATATGTTCAATCGTATCAGATAAAGAGATACGAGAATATGTCACTTCAACTATCTTCAGCCACGACGTTCTTTTCCCTTTCTGACGTAAACGGTATGGTTCCTTTCTTGGAATGGTAACGTCTATTAGCCTCCCTGTTAGAGATAAAACATTTTAAAACATCATTCAAAAATACGAGTGTGTAGCAAAATATGAATATTGCGATTTATCTACACTTACTTGCGTTTACTTTTCTCACGAATTGTTCGTAATTCAGCTCGTGCATTGTATATATGTTTCGGTACTTGTCTATGACGCGCGATTCGCCGAATTTCTGGATGTGCCGCGTACTTCTCTTTCAAAGTATGGTTGACTTGCAGTGCATTTCTTTCTCTGGGTTTCAGCTGTTAAAAAGAATAGAATAAGGATATAGTTACATAATTAGTTTATGCTGCGTGTGAATTTATGGAAATTGTGATATTTATTTATGATCTTTTATACTTACAACGCCAAGTTTTTCCGATGCTTTAGACTTCCATATACGTAGATTCATTTCATCACTACCGCTAATTACATATTTATTATCAAGTGACCATCCCACACAGGTAAGTCTGTGCATGCGTCTTGTGTGGTACACTTCTCGCGAGTGGCCTTTGTTCGCTTCGAAAATACGTATTGATTTATCATAACTACCTGAAACAAATTCTCTTCCTGTCGGTGAGTAATCCACATCTATCACTGCTTCCACGTGATCCATATGTACGTTAACTGGCGTTTTCAGCTTACGAATATCATAAGTATATAAACTGAAATAAATATATTTAGAACATATGAAAAAATTGTATAAAGCTAGAGGTCATTTTTATTATATCTCACTTGTAATCTTCATTTGCACATGTAAAAACGAAAGCTTCCATAGGATTCCAAGAAAGCTTGTTGCTTCGTAATTTCATTACTATTCTTCTTAAAGGTCCTGTCTCTCTAGTATCATATAAAATTATGCTACGATCACTGGCACAAGAAGCTGAAAATTAAAATTAAGATAAAATAGTATAAGATCAAACAATAAATATTTTTGAGACATTTAATATCTTATGTATCAAAATAAGATATAAAATATTTTTAATTTAATAGTTTTCAAGTACAACTTCAGAATAATCTTTTGTAAAGAAAAACTACATCAATTAGTATATCTAAAATATGGCGCTTCATTAAAAAAAAAAACACAATTGCATTTTCAAATAGCACCCATATAAAATGCATGAAAATAATATCAAACATTTAAAATCATTTAATTTTATCTTACAATATATTTCTCTATCTTCAATTGTTTTAAAGACTACTCAATTATACGACATTATATGATATACGATATTATTAATCGTCATACCTAAAAGATCTGTCTGTACAGGATTAAATTTTACATCAAGTAAACTATCTACACCCCACTTGAATGTACGAAGTGGTTCATTACGAGTTTCCTGCCACATATGACAGAGTCCTTCTCCACACGTAACAAATATTGGTTTGGTCCGATGATGAGTTATACTAGTTAATACCATCTGTAAATAAAAAGAGAAATTACTTAGAATTTCTAGATATTTTTATATTTATTAAAATTAAAAACTATATACAAGAGCTACATACTTTGCTAACAATAGTATTTATGGGCTCCTCCTCATCATCAGAGATAGCATCCCAGGTCTTAATTGTCTTGTCATCACCAATAGTGATAAAATGTTTTCCATCCAATGCATACGCAATACCGCGAACTATGCCGTTGTGAGCCAGAAAAGCGCGTGTGCAGGTTCCCTGGCTCAGACTCCATATTCTCACCTCGCCATCATAAGCACCGCTCAAAAGAGTAGATAGCTGAGATGGATGTTTACATATGCAGGACACTGCATCTTTGTGGCCTTCCAGACTACCCAAAAACGGTTTTGCAAATACCTTCTCTAGTTTAACGGCATTTAACGCTTTCGTATATTCCCTTGCCGCTTGAAAGGGATGTAAGACGGGGTCAAAATTCCGAGGGACTGCAAATAGCAAAACAGTATCCGATCAGTTGTATTTCACGCGATTAGGTTAGAATCACATCGCAATTTATGTGGATTTACTTTTGTGAATATCTCGTTTGGTCTCTCGTAAGTATTCGTCAGGATTTCTACTTAATACTTTAACCTTCATCCTGAAAACAAATTATTGTGCACACTTTGTCAAAAGATACATAAAAAAAAAATTATTTTTCTGATATATGGTCCAATTTCGTTCCACGTGTATCAAGAATAAACTGAAAAATAATACTAGAATATGCGCAAGCGCTAAAATCATAAATTTAGTTCAAATAGCTACTGAACTATAGGAAGTTTTTCGATTGGCTATCCAAATAGTGTATTTTATGAAACTCTATAATTTTCCTAGTTAACGCCTATCCATATGACAATACGTCCGGAATATTTCTTGTCAAAAACTCCCTATAAATATATATAAATATATATATATATATATATATATATATATATATATATATATATAGAAAATATA